CGCCGCGATCCAGGGCCAACACCGAAGGGGCAGCGGTCACCCACACACACACACGCCCCAAGCCAGCCCCCAGCCCCGATGCGGGGTCACACGGGAAGCCTCCTGGCCTGACCCAGCCCCGAGGCTCTGGGTCTGGCCGTGTTTAGGGAGTGGAGAGGCGGAGAAGCGCCTCGCCTCGCAGGATGAAAAGGGCAATTCTTCGGAGCCTTCGGACCTGAGCCCGGGCACGGGCTTCAGTCCCCCCCCCCCCCCCCCATTCTCTCCCCCCCCCCTCCCCCCCCCCGCTCCCACCGCGGGCAGGCGCCTGTCCCCCCACACACACCGCCCGGACCTCGGTTTCTTTGTCCAGATTCTTGCTCCCCTGGGGGGTCAAAAGGAACCTGCTAGGTCCTCGGGGAGCAGAGGCGCAGTACAGCATCTCCTGGTTCTTCCTTAGCAGGAGATTTTCTCCCCCATCACCTTGAATCTCGGGGGTCGGGGGGGTGTGACTTTTTCCTTTGAGGAACAATCTAGAATAAATAGAAGACCAGGAGGAAGGATACAACCCCCCCCCACCCCAGAGAGCTGAGAGTCTCCTCCTGGCAGGGCGTTCCCGCATTCTTTTTTTTTTAACCTTGAGAGAAGGGGAAACTGAGGCTTGGCTGGGTGGCCTAAATAATAGTAAAAAGAAGGGTGGGAAGAGAGGGGCCAAGGAGGACTGAGCATTCAGCACTCCAGGCCCACCTGCTGCCCTGGGACAGCAGCCCCAGCCCCTGGCTGCTCACTTCCAACCCTGGCCCCCTCCGCCCAGTGCTCCCTGCTGGGAGAAAGCAAGGCCACCTGTCCAGGCGCTGCAGAGCCAGCCGTACTTGCTTCCCTCCTGCCCGTCCTCTCCTGGCACTGGCCCCTCCTCTCAGCCACTGACAGCCTTCTTCCAGACCAGGCTTGCTCTGATCTGGAACAACCAAGCTTCCAGGCTCTGCCCTAATCCCCAGCCCCAGGCCAAGTCCAGGCTGTGACCATGCACGTACTGTCCACTGGAAAGCCATCAGCCCGGGCTCAGTTCCCTGGCAGGCATGCCAGGGCTGATCACTCCCTGGCCCCGACTTTGCCCGTGGCTGCTGCTGCTGTCCTGCCACTCCTCCACCCAGCCCGAGCCCAAGAGTGCACCACTGCCACCAAAAGAATAACGATTAACAACGGCACCCATTGCCTCTTATCAGTCAGAAAGATGGCCACGATTTAGTCAGGGGAATCGTAGAAGATGAGCGACTGCCAAGGCCCTGCTGCAGAGAGAACGGATCTGTGAGCACACAAGCCGAGAGCAGGCCATGGCTCCCAAGGGCTGTAAGGTCATAGCCAGGCAAGGTGTGACACGAAGATGCAGGTTCGTGGAGATGTACGCGAGCACTGTTGCCATGGTGACCACAATACCATCTGTTCTAAGTTCCAGATGTCAGAAGCGAAGTTCAGGCGGCTCTCACGGTCTTTAGGACCCACTGATGAAAGCTTGGGGGGGGTGTCCCCCAATGATAGAAAACACTGAAATGGCACAGGACATATGCCCAGGTCCTGCTTCTGACTCCACTGTCTCAGGACACAGCTTTCGAGGCGGGATCCTAGAAGGTGGCTCAAATTGATTTCACATTCCTGACCAATCCCAGCAAGTGCGGCCTCTGTCCCCTCCACCTGGGGGCGGGACATGGACCATACATGCATGAGCCTTATGGGGTGTGGCAGGAGAGGGGCAGCCAGGAGGGAGGTCAGGCTGGCCAAGGTGGCAGGGGGCTCTTGAGAGCGAGGCTCAGGGTAGCAGCTAGTGGGCAATTGGTGTGACCATATGACATAACTGGCCATCGTAATCACAGTGGGGTACTGTGGCTGGAAAGCAGGGTGGCAAAGGCCACCCCGTGGTGTGCAACCTGGGACACGAAGCTTGCCAGTGCCAGATGGAGGCCAGCGACAGGGGGAGGTGAAAATGTCATCTTACCACACCAGAGGCCAGCAGCCACCACCGGGCCTTCTGAAGCCTTTTGTCTTGGGTCGCCCTCCCCACCCCAAGGTCCCGCCTGCCCTGCGTGTGGCAGTAACTGGCAGCCACGGGAGGAAGCTGGCTGGAGTGTTGCACCCTGTCATCTGGCCTCTTTCGCGGCTGCTCAGGCCCTGGAGGCTGCACTTCTCAGCCCTGGCCTTGGGCAGAGGCGTGGAGGCATGTCCCCCAGCGTCGGACTGGAGCTGGTGCCTGGACTGTCGTGGAGATGCTGGAGGGAAGGGTGGGTGTCGTGTCGTGTCTTTCTGCGGGGAGGCTAAGCTGCGATCCTGCCTGTGGCCTTGGCTTTGCAGGCTGTCAGTGTCCTTGTGTAGGAGGAGACTGAGAATACCACAAAGCGGAAGATGGGGGGGGGCAGTGTAAGGGAGAGGAGAAAAAGAAGAGGGAATGGAGCAGGAAAAGAAGAGGAGGGTGGGAGGAAGGAAGGAAGGAGAGAGGGAGGGAGGGAAGAAGGAGGGAGGGAGGCAGAGAGGCAGGCAGGCAGGCTGGCTGAAACTACCCTCCTGTACCTAGCAGGCAAGTTCAGGGCTGCACCCCGGTACCACAGGCTGGCCTCTTGGTTTGCCAGGAGAGCCCAGATGAGTCTGTACCATGAGAAGTGCACACGCGCCCCCTGCCGGCCGTGCTCCGCCCCTGCAAGGCTGTGTGTCCTGAGAGTTTCTGCCAGCTAACTTGGGTACACGGCCCCCAAACAATTGCCTCACAGGGTTGTTTTTTTGTGTGTGTGAAAATACTGAACAGAGGGGTTACAATTACATGGGCAAGATAATGAGTACATTTCTTCTCAAGCATTGTAGCCTCCTCCTTTGTTTCCCCTTCCCATCCCTTCCCATCCTCCCCCAGCCCCTCCCAATCCTCCTCCACACTGGGTTCTTTACTTTAGGATATGCTACAACTTACAGTAAAGGAAAAGCAATAAGGGTGTGTGTGCGTGTGCGTGTGTGTGTGTGTGTTGTTCCTGGGGCTTGAACTCAAGGCCTGGGCGCTGTCCCTTAGCATTTTCACTCAAGGCGAGTGGTGCTCTACCACTTGAGCCACAGCTACACTTCAGGCTTTTTGGCAGTTAACTGGAGATGAGTTTCATGGACTTTGCTGTCAGGGCTGGCTTCAAACCATGATCCTCAGACCTCAGCCTCCCAAGTAATGAGCCACCCATGCCATCCTAGCAATGAGGTTTCAAAACCTGATAGACATGGGCTGGGAAGGTGGCTCAGTGGTAGAGCGCTTGCCTTGCATGCCTGAGGCCCTGGGTTCAATTCCTCAGCTCCACATAAGCAAAAAGAAAAAAGCCGGAAGTGGCGCTGTGGCTGGAGTGGTAGAGTGTTAGCCTTGAGCTGAAGAGCTGAGGGACAGCACCCAGGCCCAGAGTTCAGGCCCCACGACCGGACCCCCAAAAAAAAACCCTGATAGGCGTGTCCCCACGTTGAAACTTTCTAGGAGTTCCTACCTGCACCCAGGTCAGCTCTGAGCTGAGGCTCAGAGACACGCCAGCCTACTGGAACAGGACGACCCATGGGACGGGAGGCGGGGAGCACAGCGTTCCACCACTCGCGTACCCCAGTCCTGTCCAGACAGACAGACCCCCTTGGTGAACTACCACTCACGTAGGCCCCCTACCCGAGCTCTCCACAGCCTCTGGCCTGGAGACAGAGCCGGCTTATTTTCCGTAATGCACGAGGGGTGGGGAGGTCCTGGTGGGCCCAGAGTCAGGAGGACATCTGTGGAAGAGGCCCCTTCCATCGCGCATGCTCAGGAGCCAACGGACCCTGGGGTCCAGCTGCAAAGCTCCTACTCCTCCAAGAGCCACAGCATGCAGAAACACCTCTTCAAACCCTGAGTCCTGGGCTGGGGGGTGGGGGTGGAGGGCGGTGGTGAGCTCACTACCAAGGCCCAGGCTTCCACGAGGGATACAGCGAGGCAGGAGGTGTCTTGGTACGCTCCAGCTGCTGTAACAAAACCCCACCCTGGAGCCTTGTCAGCACTACACATTTATTCGGTCCTGAAGGCCTCCACGTGAAGCTGAGGGGCCACAAATGCCAGCGCCCCGCAGCAAGTGACCTGATGACATCTGTCTCCACGCACCAAAGGCGAGAGGAACAGGTGAAGCGGTGTCAGCTGGCCTCATGGCAGATGTCCTCATTGGGATGAGTGGTGGTGGGCGCCTCGGAGGCCCTGGAGGCCCTGCACCTGCCAAGGAGACCAGAACGGCGCCAGCCTGCACATCCACATCCAAGCCACAATGCCCAGGGACCAGAGGCCATTCTCCTCCAGTGGCTTTGCCTAAGTTCTCCCTTAGTCTTTTCACCAAATGTTTTCAGTATGAAATATCTCCTGCAGAGTGACCAAGCAAGCTGAATGTGAAGCTGTGCGTGCGTGCGTGTGCGTGGTGTGTTGGGTTGGGAGGTGCGTGCTGGATGTGAATGCTGTGCGTGCGTGTGCGTGGTGTGTTGGGAGGTGTGTGCTGGATGTGAAGCTGTGCGTGCGTGTGCGTGGTGTGATGTGTTGGGAGGTGTGTGCTGGATGTGAATGCTGTCGTGGGTGTGCGTGGTGTGTTGGGAGGTGCGTGCTGGATGTGAAGCTGTGCGTGCGTGTGCATGGTGTGTTGGGTTGGGAGGTGTGTGCGTTGTGTGTATTTATTCGTGGGCACTCATTCCTGTTCACTCTGTGGGGCGGGCTGGCTAAGGAGGAGGAGGAGGAGGCCCTGTGCTGTGGAGGATGCAGGCTGCCATCCCTGCCCACTAGCTGACAGCAGCGCCCCCTAGTGAAAACAGCCAAAAAATATGTCTGCAAATGTGCAAGGATACCCAGAAGGACAAGACCCCAGACCAAGAACCAGGGCTCCACAGGGAAAGTATGGTAATGTTGTATAGTAATGAACTATTTAGTCATGTAAAAAGAAGGGTGTTCCTTAGTATTATGTTTCCTGTTTGTCAAAAAAACCCAAACACACACAAATGAAAAGATCTTCACAGTAGTCTTTACAGCAAGTAAACTAAGTTTATTATGATTTTAAACTAGTTATAGAAAAATACACACAAAGATCTTCCCTAAGTGTCAATCTTCCTTAGGAGATGTAAAAATATGTGTAAGCTTTGAGCGGGCATCTTGACCTTAAGTACATAGTTGTCTCCTGTAGGATTGGTCTCAAGGCTTCCTGGGCACCCCCAAACTCCATGGATGCTCAAGGCTCTTATGCAAAACAGCCTCATGATGGCATAGAGGCTGCAGTGGCTCCGTAGACTGAAAACTCTCTCTCAGTGACATAATACCAGTACACAGTGCAGCCTCCATGCAGGTGGTTGTATTGCTTAGGAAACAATGACAAGGAAAACATTTGAACAGGATCAGTAGAAACATGATTTTTAATATTTTTATGCAAAGTGTGCAGAACAGAGAACTCGTGGATCTAGAAGTTCAGCTATATATCTTCAAAAATAGTTCTGAATGTAAGAAATGTTTCACAAATATGCTTATTTTGTGTAGTCACTTTTTCAAAAAAAAGTCATAAACACTAAAATCAGCAACAGAAAGCTAAAAGTTAAGTCTGGAACATTCACTTGAAAGGCTGTAATAAAGCATCAAAATACTCCTAAACAGTTACAACAGTGCAGGGGAAAGGTTTTCTCATACTCCTAGGTGAAAATAAAACAGGGTGCAAAGCTGAAGTGGTTGGGGGGGGGGCTGGGACAGTAGTGAAGAACCAGACACCTCTCAAAGCCAAAAGAATTTTTTCTTTAAATTGCAAGACAGGTACTGATGACTCCCACCTGTAATCCTAGCTACCTAGGAGGCTGAGATCTGAGGATTGAGGTTTGAAGCCGGCCGGAAGTAGACGTGTGGCTCAAGTGCCACATGGAGTGTCATCCTTGAGCAAACATTCTAAAAGACAGTGCCCAGACCGTGAGTTCAAGCACACAAAAAAGGGGGCAGAGGGAGGTGGGACTGAACATCAACCTAAGATCACAGTGTTTGAAAATGAAGTATCTCAGTTTGAAGGAAAGAAAGTGACGTAGGTTTGATTAAACTGAACAAAGAAGAGATTCTTGCCCTTGTGAGTTGGATGTTGGCCCTCCCCGGAAGTGATGGGCGATTCCAGCCCTCAGAAGGGGACAATGGAGCAGACAATGGCCGACCAGCCTGCGTTTGTCAGACAATATTTGCCCAGCCGGTGGCCCTGGCGCCTTCTCCAATTGTGTGGAGCCAGACTATATCTTACAATAGACCTCAAAGAGGGAGGCAGCTGCGTGCATTCGGTAGAAGATAGAGAAAGGCATGGCCAGGTTGACCACAATGATCCAGGGCTCAAAGCCAAAGACGATCTCTTCCAGTCCATTGTCGTACTCGGGGCGACAGCCAAAGGCAGGGGGGATCCACAGCTGCAAGAGAGGAGGGGGTGCAGTTACTGGGCTGCGCTGGCGGGCTCCGGAGGGCCGGGGACAGGGAAGGCACTGACTTCCACAGTGGACCAGCCCATGGATGTGTGCAGGGCTTGGTGGGCTGGGAGGGGCGGGCCTAGCTGGAGGAAGTGGGAGGGGCCTGACTTTGAAGATCCCTCTCTGTGTCTCTCTGCTTCCTGGCCACCATGAGTGAGCAGCTTTCCTCACTGTTCCCATCTGCCCCGAAGATTCTACCTCACCAAGGGCTGAAAAGCTATAGGAACAGCCGATGATGGGCCAAAATCTCTGAAACCATGAGACAAAATCAGTCCTTCCTCGTGTTTTTCCTCTGCGGCACTTTGGAGTGAAAAGCGAAGATGCCATCTGTCCCACGCCCGAAAATCCCCACTGCCATGGATGTGGACCCACGTCCACAGAGCTGGAGCCACACTAGGCAGGGTAAGGAGGAGACTCTGTCCCCAAGTTTCTCATCTCCATCCTGCCCATGAATCTGTGATGAGCTCAAATCTTCACCACTGCTGTGCTCAGTCTCAAAGAGCAGCTGTGGTGACAGGCATGTACCACCATGTCCAACTTATTTGTTGGGATGGGGTCTCAGTAACCTTTCCCCTGGGCTAGCCTTGGAACTACTATGCTCCCAATCTCCACCTCCCAAGTAGCTGGTATTACAGGTGTGCCATACCACAGACCCCATACACTTATTCCCATTATGAGTGGCTCTCCTGCCTTATTTTTAAAAAGGCAGGGAAAACATAATTTGACAATTACCGAAATGTTGCCAAAGAAGAGGAAGGCCGTGATATTCCTGAGGGTCCTTCTCTTGGAGTGGCCCTGCAGGAGCCAGGGGTGGCAGGCCGGGCCCGGGGCCCCCTCCCATCTCCTCTCCTGCTCCTCTTTGCCGCAGCGGGGGTGCAGACACAGGCTCCCATTGGTAGTCTGTGGCGTGTCCCCACCCGGGGGCATGGCCTCCCCTGCCGGGGCCGGGGCCGGGGCGTCCCCACTGCAGACGGTGACCACCCGGAGGGTGCGGATGTCCTCGGCGCGGCCCTCGGGCTCACGGTGGACCGACTCGATGATGAACAGATTCTGGATGTACTTCTCCAGGATCACCAGTGTGGCGTAAGGCAGGTTGTACCAGGTGTAGGGCGGGCAGGTCTCAGCACAGACAAAGGCCAAGATGGAGCCCCAGGAGATGAGCCAGGAGCCTGAGGCGGTGCCCACCAGCAGGTCAGTGTCCAGCTTGCGAGCTGGGCTCTTGGACTCGTCCAGTGACTTCTCGTCCAGCCTGTAAATCCCGATGCCCACCAGGCCGGCAGCCGCCATGAGCAGCAGCAGGGCGCTGGCGTACAGGTAGAACATGGTGAGTGCCGACTCGCTCTTGCTCTTGGAGCGCCCGATGTGGACCAGGTAGACAGCCACGATGCCGATGGTGGCGGCCAGCACGGCCAGGCCCAGCGCCGAGCCCGGCAGGACCCCGTTGAACCTGAACCGCACCCTGTGGTGCTGGGCACCGTCCACCTCGCGGCCGATGTTCTTCCACAGGACGTAGAGCATGGTGGAGGCCAGGATCTGGTACTCGATGTTGAAGGGGTACAGGTAATAGATGCCGTGGGCGATGGCAGAGCAGAGGCCGGGGGGCGTGCAGTTGCACTGGGGGCTGTGGTCATCCAGAACTGGGGAGCGACAGAGCACAGGAGAGGGGGGTCAGCGTGGGCAGAGACGCACAGAGCGGGGGACGGGGGCGCGGTGCGTCTGGCTCTGCAGACACAATCTCCCTCTCAGTGTAGGCTGCAGTCCAAACAGCTAAGTCGCATGGCATAACATCAACTATAAATACATAATGCTATAGTACATAAAAATACACCAAATGTGAAAGACATTTGAATTGTGTTTCTGGGTAGGTGCTATGGTGGATCTTTCTTTTTTTGGGGGGGAGAGGTGGGGGTCCAGTTGTGGGGCCTGAACTCTGGGCCTGGGCACTGTCCCTCAGCTCTTCAGCTCAAGGCTAGCGCTCTACCACTTGAGCCACAGCGCC